AATCCATTTCATTAAGGAGCTGTTTAACTTGGAGGGTACATCAATAAGGACGAGCTTAATGCAATCCTCAAAGTACCTAGGACAGCTCGGCCAAATGAAGCTATTACCCTGCATAATGTGTTTTATGCAAGATTGAAATGGTTTACTGTTTATAAAAATCACTCCAGGATTTACAGTGACTAGCCTCCCGTAAGAGTCTCCATGTGTAAAAGTTTTATGTCAACGGGAACTTCACACCTGCTATCGAGAAGTTGCTGTATTCTCCCCCAACACACCGAACAACAATCAAATTGAGAGTCCTATTTGTAAAATGGCCCAAAATGTGCTTGTTTCTAAATTCAACCTGATCGGTATTACTATGGACTTACTTGTGACTTGTCTAGAAGAAAGAAAACAAATAATTCAACTTGAAGTCAGTGAACGCTCAGTGCAGGCCTACTGTGTATGGGCCACAATGCCAGGGACAGGGCACTGAAGGGAGAAAAGAAGAGTCCCCGAGAGGCAGGAGCCTCTTCCGAGGGTGGCATCTAAGAGCCTGAAACGCAGCAGTCCGTCCATCGTGAAGCTGGGGGTCAACACCAGCTGCAGGGAAGGCACCGCCTCTGCATGGTGGTCACAGCCCATCTGGGGAAGGACACTTGAAAAGCAAAAAGGCCCACCGTCCTTGAGGGGCCAGTAGGGGAGGCTCTGCTGACCCCTCAAGTGCTCTCCCCTCTCCTTGCTAGAGTATGTGATTCTGTCCACGTTTCAGGTAGGGATCTTTAGGAAGGTGGGCCCGGGTCTGGTCTAGATCAAGGCTCATGGCCCAGTCCTGAGCAAGAAGTGTGTGCTGGTGGGCCTTGGGAAAGGACCTGCCCTCCCTGATCAGGACAAAGCTCGTGACTAGAAACTCTAGGCTCTTTGTAGTCCTCTGTCCCTCACTTCTGATGGCCACTGTACAGTGACTTGGATTGGGGCAGCCTGTAAGACCAAGAGCCCCAGAGATTCCCATCAGCTGCCTCTTGCCTTCTTTTCAGGGGCTCTTATCAATGAGATAGATCCCCAGCCCTTTTTATTTTTTTTTATTTTGAGACTTTCTAAGTTGTTTAGGGCCTTGCTAAGCTGCTGAGACTGTCCTTGAACTTGCCATCCTCTGCTGGGGATTACAGGAGTGTGCCCTTTCGAGTGCTCTCAACGTGTAAGAGAAACAACCTCAGACAGCTCCCGGTACTGGGGCTCATGCCTTCTGTTATCTGCAGCTAAAGCACCTAGGACTGGCTGGGGGTAGGGGGTTGTGGAAATAAGTTTTCCAGGGTGCTTGGAGCAACGCTCTGGAGATGGCAGAGATGGTGTTGAAATGTCAGGCAGGTGCCAGGTTGACCAGGGCCCAAGGCCATGGCAGAAGAGTCTGGCAATGATTTCCAAACAACAGGTGCTCTCCCAGTGGGGGACACGACCGAGATGACTTCTGGGGCACAGACCAAGCAGTGCACGAGGCTGAAGCACACAGTGAGAAATGCAGTTCCTCCTCATTCTTAGTCCTTCTCGTCACTTGCAGGAGACTTTTCAGATTGGGGCTAGAACATCTTTAATGCTCCTTTCTAAACTCATTAATCTTTCCTTTCAAAAAAAGAGGAAGAAGGTCCCAGATTCGGGGACTTGGTGTAGGTGGAGGGCCACAGCAGTGTTTTGTTTTCATGTTTATGTCTATGTTTGGTTATGAAAAGTGATACTGGATTTTGATTTGGGGTGGGGAATCAAGTTTCTTTGAATGTATGCCTATTCTGAAATGTCTTAAAGAGCAAGCCGGCTTTCAGAAAAAAATGTCAAGTGGCAGGGTAGAAGCTACACCCATGTGACAACACCTGTAATGCTGAAGTGAAAATCACTGAAGTCTGAAGAGCATAATTGAGTCCATCAGGGAGCTACCGGAAGCACTGTTTTCAATGGAGTCATGTAATTAACCTCCCTGTTAAAAAGACTCAGCAAGCGAGCCAGGCCTCCAACTCAAAGGTGGTGTTTGCAAAAAAAAAAAAAAAAAAAACAGGTGAGAAACAATTAAACTGGAATCAAGGCAGGAGATGGGGAGGAAAAGGAGAGACTTGGGGACCAACTGTAAGAGGATGGAAAGAGAGAAGGTGGAGTTTGGGACAACTCCTAAATTTGGCTTGGGTGATCAAGAGGATGAATCATGGCACCTTTAAATGAGCCGCAGCAGACAGGAGGACTATGGCTGGGAGGGAGGGAGGGACAGGGGTGCAGCTGGCCAGGTAGAGCTGATGCACTTTGTTGACCATGGCTCTCGGAGTGCGTTCACCAAATCAGTTGCACCTGGAAACTTGCTCCCAATGCATATTCTTGGTTTGTCCATAGCCTTTTGTTACAGTTTGGATCTTAGTGTCTCCCAAAGGCCCAGGTGCCAAAGGCTTGGTCATCAATTTGTCACACTATTGGGAGTTGTGGGACCTTTAAGAGGTGGAGCCTAGTGGGAGGAGGTTAGGTGACCTGGGGAGATATTAAGGTCTTGGCCCCCTTCCTTTGCTTTTTACTTCCCAGCTACCATGAGGTGAGCAGCTCCTCTGCCATATTCTCTCACCCCACATACTGTGTCACCATAGGCCCAAAGCAACAGGACTAAGCAACCGTGGACTGAATCTTTTGAAACCATGAGTCAAAATAAACCTTTCCATCTTATAAGTTAATTTTCTCAGGTATCTTGTCACAATGATGGAAAGCTGACAACAGTTTAGTGAATCAGAAATTCTAGTCTAGTTTAACTAGTTCTCCAAGTGACTCAGACACATGCTAAGATTCAAGGGTCACTGGTCAGGACAAAGAGTTCTGAGGCAAGATATCCAGCCAAACCAGCTGCATTATTTCACACAAGGTCTTTCTCTGGGCCTCAGTTTCCTCAACTGCAAAATGAGGGTGTTGACTTGGCTCTGAGACTTCCAGTCATTCTGCATGATGCACCTGTAAGTCACTAAATCTTTCTGGGTTTCAGTGCCCCATCCCCAAGCATCCATCTCCTCCTCCTTTGTTAGTATTAGAATCCCAACTTTTTACTTAGCAGTTGTGAGCCCAGAGTAAAGACCAATATCTCATGCCACTAGGTGTAATGGACGTGTGGCCTTTCATGCAAGGAACATTTTTGTTCTAACCATTCCTATTTCAGTTTTTCTGTGCTACATTTTCATGAGAAACCCTTTTGAGCCTATGGTTTCATAATTTTATGAAACCATACTATGAGAAAAATGCAAAATATCCTCTATCTTGGGGGACAGGGCCTAGGAATCTGAATTTGATGAGTTTCCCTGGGTATAAGGCTCCCTAAAGATTGAAGTTGAGCAGTTAGAAATCACTTCTTACCATCGTTTCCTAGTAACATACATATTCCAAGAACACGGAGCAAGAGATTTGGACATAAAAGGGAAGAATCATTTTTAGTGGGCTTCTTTTCTTTTTAAAAACATCGAGATGACTTTTTTTTTTTTTTTTTTTTGCTTAATGATTCAAGATGGAAACTTTTTTAGCAGAAACTCTGGCCGTAAGGAAGTCATCACACAAACTCGATCAGCGCCTGTGAGTTTCTAGCTTTGTTGGGGCTACAGTTTTGATCTCCAACTCCCAGCTCTCTGGCCTCTGGACCTGACACTTTCCCTCCATTCTTGGGAAAGCTATTCTTTTCCCATCGTTGCAGGTGAAAATCCTCCAGCACAGCTTCAGGGTGTGAGACGGCAGCTGCTTGGTGGCATGGCTGTGGCTTTGATAGAGGAAGTGAAGTGCATCCAGTCAAAACAGCAAAAGGGGTAACCCAGGTCAGCAGCCTGCTCACTTAGGGGGCCGGGAGCCAGCCGCGGAATGCTCCAAGTCATTCTGCGTGATGCACGTCACAGTTTGGAAGGTCAACCCCCTGGGCCAGCTCACCTAAATCTTTGCCAGGACACAGCCATTTCAAGTGAAGCATGTCCGTGTCCTGGACCTTTCCAAACCAGTTATTCAGTAACGATGCCTTGGAGGACTGGCTTCGCCACTCCCTAGCAAAAGAGCTTGTTAACTGCGGAGTCTATGCAAATGGTAATACCTCAAGTGGGAGGGCAGGAGGAAAACAGTGGTTAAAAGGCAGAGGGCTTGCACAGGTTGCAAAACAACAAAAGCAGAAAACACAACCTACAATTAGTTGTTTAAAAAGGGGGTGCTTCCTAAACCCACATGCACACTTTCCAATATTGGAATGGGGTGAAGATGGGAGGTGCAATTTCATAAAACCTGCTTTTAGAACTTGGTTTTGTTTCTGTCCAGCTTGCAGTAATTATGGCAGTAATATTCCAGCTACTCTTGGAAAAGAGTATCTTCCAAAAGTAATTCCATCCTTCTCTCTTCCCCTGCCTTCATAGATCTGCCTTTGAATCTGATGTTTTAGAGTCTACCACTACACCAGAATGCTCATTAATGCTGTCAGGCAAAGTAACTGCTGGGTATTAATCTCTTGGAGACTGGACCATTTACCTGTCTGGACCTGTCTTCTCCTTACAGCTCACTAGCTGAAACCAATACCAAGGACACTGTGTCCTTCAATTCAATTACAGAAAGCTCTGGGCCATAATGCTGAAAAGATCCACTGCTTGAAACATTTCTGCATGCAATGCACATGGGCCCACGCTATTGTGGTGTCTCTTTGTGTCAGGATGCAATGTTTCCTTGTGTCCCTGGGTCATGGAAATGAACTGCAGCAGGGTTGATGCATCGCCTAGCTCCCATGGGCCACATTCGCAGACCAGTCCTTGTGCCTTAGGGAGCTTCACAGTGCATGGCATGGGCAGCCCAGGGTGGTGGCTCTGATTGCCATAGTCATCAGCTAGGCCCTCGTAGCTGGGTGTGGGCCCTTGGGAGAAGGCTGATAGTGTGTGTTCAAGGGCAGTGGAGAGGACATTAGAGCAGGGGTGGAGCAGAGTTCATCCTGTGTGATTACAGGGTGAGGTTTATGTCCTCCACCAGACTTTAAAAGGTCTGGTGGAGAAGGCACCGAGGCTCTGCTTCCGGGGAGGCTCCAGGTTTGGGGCATGGTTGACCTCAAATCCCAGAGGGGCTGGGAGGCAGCCTACAGGTACAGGCATTCGCCAGCCTACAACTTCTCTGAAGGTGTATTTGTGCACTGGACAGGGAGGGCTTTGTTTTGTTATCTGGTAGCACCCTTAATGTTTGGGAAGAGCTTGCTTTCCCCGTAACCTGAAAGCTTTCTGTTGAGCATGCTCTATGGGAAGGGCTCTCTTCTCCCTGCAGAGTATTCCAGCCAGCACTCATCTGCAACTGGAGATCCCTTTGGAGATCCTAAATGGAGCACTGAATTGTTGTCATGGTTACCATGGGACAGTTTCTGAGGCCAGATATTTTTTCCAAGGAGGGCAGTCCTGGGCTGTGTATCCTGGGTTTCTGAGTGGGCGACAAATCTAAGAGAATTGAATCCCTCTTCCTTCTCTCCTGCCTCCAATACCAAACAAGGAAACTGACTAATGTCTACAGTGATCTTCCTAGCTGCAGCCTTGCCCTGCCCGAAACTACTGCCTGCTGGATTTAGTCCTAGAAGATCAGGCTGACCTGGAAGCACCTGACTGTGGCTCAGGGTGTGGTTCCTCCTCCTACAGATCAAGACAGGCTCCCAGATTCTGTAGTGCATGTAACTGCTTCTGTGTGAAAATGCTTGTAAAATAATTCTCTGCACTTAATATGCTGATAGGGAATTGACTTTTTTGAACACCTCCGATCAGCCCAGTACTTCTGTGCCTCTCATATCATTTACAAACCTAGTGAGAGTGGTGGTGGTGGACACACTGTCCTCGCTTTATGAGGAAGGAAGGTTTGTAAAAGTGATGCCCAGGGCTTCACAATGAGGAAGTAGCAAACCTGAGGTTCAAATTCATGGCTGTTTGGTTCTAAGATAGTCCCTTTTTCTCTTAAGTCATAGCTGCCACTGTAGCTACTGAGAAGAATTGGTACCTTCAAGAGACCCTCTGCCATCTACTGGGAATCCATCCATTCATTCAATAAACATGTCCAGAGTCTCTCTGTGCCTGATCCACTCCTGGTCATTGGGGCATAAGGACAAATCAGACATAACCTATGCCCTCAAGAAACTAACCTACTGACAACCATCAGTAATATAATTAAAAAACAAACAAAAAAAGAATGTACAAGATGCTAGAGGGAGGGAAGGAGGGGAAATCATTCTGGAGGAAACACCACCTGGCTGAACCAAGTAGGTCTCAAGGCATGTCCAGTGGTGGGAAATAAAAACCAAACCAAAACAAACAAACAAAAACCAAAAAACACCAGAGTAATATCCAATCTCTGTGCTCTAGTAACTCATAGAATTACAAAGACAAGACTCATACTTATGGTACAATGACAGAGAATCCCTGATTCAGGGCCCACACAGGTGAGCTGCATATAGGTGTTGGAGAAATGAAAGACTGAGGCACATAAATTGGGGCCATTGCAGGAAGGATACAGAAATGACATTGAAGGCACTTTTGCTTACAGGATTCTTTTGAAACCGCTATGTCTTTTCCTCATTAATTTTTCCATAGTCATTTCTACACTGATACCCCCCCCCCCCTTTGTTTCTTTTTCATTTCCTGCTAAAGGAAAACAATTCTTCAACATTAAGGCTTGTGCCAAGAGCAGAACTATCTCAGGCCCTGATGGTGACCATAATGCTGGGAATGTGCAAGATGAAAATGACACTCAGGACTGAGCAGCAAGCAAACAACCTACATGATAGAAATTTGAGATGTGAGCCCCAAGTCAAATGGTATAAGGAATAAAATTAATTCAGATTCGAAAATAGAAGCTGTCATTTAGGAAAGACTCCATTGTCGCTGTCTGTCCATTCATGTCTTCAGGATTCATTCACTAATGCCTCCTATCTATAATGCCTACTCCTCCAAGATCTCATAGTCCAGCACAGGTCTGGGAGACAGACTATTACCATATAGTGTGATAAACAAGACTGAGATGTGCATAGGCCCGTGGACACGCACGAGAGAGAATTTAGAAAGCAGAGTTGGTGGCTTTCGAACTGACCTCTAAAACCAGGAGTTTGGCAAGCAGAGATAAGAGTAAAGGACACATAGAAAGGCACTTAAGAGTATACTCAGAGGGAGATGAGACATTAAAGATATGCCGCCCACAAGGTGAAAAGGAACCAGACCTAGTCTGGCCTTTATCCTCGAGTTAATGTGCAGACAGAGAAGAGATATGAGCAGAGGACCATGATTAAATTTTCCTTTAGGAAATGCCCCTCCGCAATGCGTTAGGCTAGAGCAGCACCAGCGAGATGACGGCAGCCACGCTGCTTACCGCAGCTACACCTCTAAGACAGCATGGGACAGTTGGGGGTGGGGGATGGTGGTGAGGGGAGAATCCATCACAAGGTCCACATTCTGGGCAAAGACCTACGCAGAGCCGGGCACCGCACAGCTGCTGGGAAGACTCGCTTCCTTATCCTGATCCCTCTGGGGCGGAGCTCGGGCCAGAGCACGTGACGCCTGGGGCACCACCTTTACTAAGGGCAGTCCTCTCGTTCATCGGCCGTTTCATAGATCTCCACTTCGATCCCCAACACCTTGACTTTATGCCACAGAATGCTAGAAGCCCATTCTCTCCCAAGTGTCCCTGGATAATCCTCCTTCGGAGCCTGTTTCGGGAAGATAAACATCGAAGGGGCCCTTTGCCCACATAAAAGATGGCGGCTTACTGCGCCGTCTCTGGGTTGGGGGACAGGTTCTAGGCGCCCGGCCTCACTGGGCGAGGCGCAGACGGAAGGGGCGTCTCTCCAGGCAACTTCTTGACCTTCCTAGGAGGGGCTCCGCGCCCAGGAGGCGGGGCTGGGTCTGCTCGCTAGCAGCGCATTGGTCTTCCGGAATGTGGGCGGGGCTCAAGCGGCGCCCCACCCCTCCTTCCTCGAACCGGAAGTATCTCTTGGTCTTTCCAGCTGGTTGTCATTTCACTCGGCTCGGTCCTGAGGAGAAGGACTCAGCGGCGGCTGCTGGACCCGGGCACCGGGAGGCGGCGGCGGCGACAGCAGGGAGGAAGAGGAGGAAGAAGGAAAGAAAAAGAAGAGCCAGGCGGAGTCCGCAACGACGACAGCTGGGACTGCGGGACCGGGGTAGAGCGGCGGCGGCGGCGGCGGTGACGACAACGACGGCCCAGCAACCGTGAGGAGAAACAAAAGCCTTCTAAATTATAGTTTAAAAAAACCCGGGGGAGCCGAGAGAGCGCCGGGGGGGGAGGCCTTTCTCTGTAGTCTACCTGCCGTAGTGGGGTTTTCCTTCCTCCCCGCCCCCCCCCCCCACCCCTGCGGAGAATCGAACTGGGAGAACTGAACAAACCGCCCCTGGGTCCCATGAGGGAGAAAAACCCCGGAGCCGCAGAGAGGGGAAGAGGCAGCAACCGCAGGACCTGCCCGCTCGCCCCCGTGGTCCGCGCACCCCCGGGCCGCCCGCTCGCCCTGTCCCGCTAACCCCTCCCGATCGCAACCCGAGAGGGGCAGACGCGGGTTTCCAGCCCCTTTCATGGGGGAGAGGAGGCCGGGGGGAGCCCGAGAACAGCGACCGCAGCAGGATCTGCACCCGGAGCCTCGGGAACAGCCCCGGAGGCCAGAACTGCGCCCAGCGAAGGAGCAGAGACAGGACCAGGAACAGCAGAAACCTCCCTGCAATCGTCTTTCCTTTAGTCAATGCTGATTTCCTCTCCCGCAACCAAGAATTCACCTCCCGCCCCAGATAACCTAATATAATCTATATATATAAATATATAATATATAATGTTCTTAAATTATTCCTGATTTTTTTAACCAAGCTGCCAAGAAGAGAAGAACGTATTCTCCCCCTTAGCACTATTCTAATTTTTATGTGAGTGAATCTAAACTGCTGAGGAAGACCATATGTGATTGTTAAATTATATATATATATATATATATACACATATATATATTTTTACTCCGAGCAATGCTTATTCTTCTACATCCATAGATGCTTGAGAAGCTGTGTTTTTGTCATTCATGTGTATTTTCCTTTGGAAAAAGAAAGCGCCTATTTTACTAACCAAAGACTTGATTTTTACCCTCTTCGTTTTTATTCCCTCCTAGAAATCAGCCCAATTGGATTCATGTCAATATTTTAAGAGATTTTTTTTTAGTTGCTTTTTTTCTTCTTTCAGAGAGAGACCAGAATTCCAAATCAGAGCTACTTAGGGTGATAAGCTACGATCTTTGAGCTAGCTATAAATAAGATATTTCAAGCAAACAAACAAGCAACTTAAATTGGAGTAGAGGAACCAAAACGGTGTGAGACATCAGGTTGTGTGTGTGTGTGTTTTTTTTTTTTGTGAGATTCTGATCCTAAAAATAATAAATGGGGGATTACGGGTTTGGAGTGCTAGTGCAAAGCAATACTGGGAACAAATCTGCTTTTCCAGTCCGATTCCATCCACATCTGCAACCTCCACACCATCACCAGAATGCCACCCCCAACCCTGCTGCTTTTATAAATAATAACACAGCTGCCAATGGCAGCAGTGCTGGGTCAGCTTGGCTCTTTCCTGCTCCAGCTACCCATAACATTCAGGATGAGATCTTGGGGTCAGAAAAAGCCAAAAGTCAGCAACAGGAACAGCAAGACCCTTTAGAGAAGCAGCAGCTCTCCCCGAGTCCAGGTCAGGAAGCTGGAATACTGCCTGAAACGGAGAAGGCAAAGTCTGAAGAAAACCAAGGGGACAGTTCTTCAGAAAACAGCAATGGGAAGGAGAAAATACGAATTGAATCACCAGTTTTGACAGGGTTTGATTATCAAGAAACCACAGGGCTAGGTACTTCGACCCAACCCTTGACATCTAGTGCATCCTCTCTTACTGGTTTCAGTAACTGGTCAGCAGCCATAGCGCCTTCTTCATCTACAATAATCAATGAGGATGCAAGTTTCTTTCACCAGGGAGGGGTCCCTGCTGCTTCAGCTAATAACGGTGCTCTGTTGTTTCAAAATTTCCCCCATCATGTCAGCCCTGGCTTTGGAGGCAGCTTCTCCCCTCAGATCGGGCCCCTCTCACAGCACCACCCTCACCACCCTCATTTCCAGCATCATCACAGCCAGCATCAACAGCAGAGGAGGTCTCCTGCCAGCCCCCACCCGCCTCCCTTCACACACAGGAGTGCTGCTTTTAACCAGCTGCCTCATTTGGCGAATAATCTTAACAAACCCCCCTCTCCGTGGAGCAGCTACCAGAGTCCCTCTCCAACCCCTTCATCTTCCTGGAGCCCAGGAGGTGGTGGATACGGAGGCTGGGGAGGCTCCCAGGGCCGAGATCACCGCAGAGGGCTGAATGGTGGAATAACACCCCTGAACTCCATCTCACCTTTGAAGAAAAATTTTGCAAGCAATCACATTCAGCTCCAAAAGTATGCTCGTCCCACCTCTGCCTTTGCTCCAAAATCCTGGATGGAAGATAGCTTGAACAGGGCTGACAATATTTTTCCTTTTCCGGTAAGATTATGTTCCATTAATAGATTAAGATGAATAAGGAAATAGTATGGTGTAATATCTCTGGAACTAAAGAGTTCGAATTGTCCATATTCACCTCAGAGCTCTTCTTAGAAAATGAAGCCATTTCCAGACTTTATCAGAAGAGTGTAATTTGGAACAAAATGTTCAGCTGATTCTTTGGCAATTTTCTAATTATAGCCTTAATTTTTCCATAGATAATTATGCATACCAGGTAGCTAGTGATGTCATGATTATTAACTATAGTATCTTTCTTGCCTGACAAGAGAAATCAGGGTCAGTTTTCCCTGCTTAGTTAGGTGAGAACAAACAATATATAAATGTAAATGTATTTCATTGTAGAAGCCAATGAATATTTTCTTTCCATATGAAGTAACTGTGTAACTTTAAAAAAAATTTCTTTTGACACTGTTAAGATAGTGATTCACTGAAAATTGACTATTGAATTCCAGTTTTTTCACTAGGTTGTATTTTAAACCTGGATAGTCTTATTGTCAATCCCTAATTC